CGAGTTAGACAAGCAAGCGGGGAACCCTGAGAACTGTCTGTCCTGGGTGGGGGTCGGGTACCTTTAAGCACAGCCCTCGGCTAGCCTGAGACAGCAGCTCCACGCTTTAAGTCCTAACCTGATGCCCTGCCAGCACTGCTTCCGGCCAGCCTTAACTTCGGTTCAGGGTCCACTCAATGTGGACATGCTACTTCGAATTAGCAAAACGCTAATTCGAATTAGTTTTTAGGTCTAGATGCACTAATTCGAATTAGCTTATTTCGAATTAACTAATTCGAATTAAGTTAGTTCGAATTGCTCCACGCTTTAAGTCCTAACCTGATGCCCTGCCAGCACTGCTTCCGGCCAGCCTTAACTTCGGTTCAGGGTCCACTCAATGTGGACATGCTACTTCGAATTAGCAAAACGCTAATTCGAATTAGTTTTTAGGTCTAGATGCACTAATTCGAATTAGCTTATTTCGAATTAACTAATTCGAATTAAGTTAGTTCGAATTAGTGCTGTAGTGTAGACATACCCTAGAGTACTATGTTGGCAGGAGAAACTCTGCTTAATTAAAATAAGTGGCAGTAGTTAATTACATAGTGGAAAATTAAGGTGATGGGAGAGCTCTCTCCCATTAGCCTAGAGCATCAGCATGAGCATCTGCACCACTGGAAACTGCATAGTGCAGACATAGTTTATAGGTTTTTCTAATTCTTATTCTTCATCTCCTGCTCTGAACTGCCAGGCTGTGTGCTGGGACTAGTAAACATGTGCTGTATTTCACCTTGGAGAGCACTTCACTTCAGTGGTGCATGCACAAGTGCATGCGCACAGTTTATGAAGTACTTTGACTTTTAAGGGGCTATATAAAATTAAGAGGTTATGAATATAGTGAGATGCTTTTTATATGCCATATACAAATGTCACACAGCATCCTGCTGTCTAGTTCCTCTGAAAGAAAGACTCCCAATATAAAGAATGAATAAACATTCTAACCAATGGAATTGGTCCTACTACTCAGAATATGAGGATGTTTGCGACATGATGTTTCCTACCTGTATCTCCTCTTCATACATTTTCATACTTAAGTCACTTTTGGTCCTTGATCTCCGTCCCTGAAACAGTATCGATATTTGCTGAGAAAACAAAATAGACATATTAATAAAATAGGGGAAAAGAACCCAGTTCTGCTAACTTCCTGCCCCACTAGTTTACAGCAAGGTCAGTGGTGACATGAGAACCCAAGCTTTCTGAGGGAGACTGTGCCTAGCAAAGCTTTCCCCATTCACCTATACCTACCAGCTTGCTCAAGGGACAGTTTCAACTCACACAAGTAGAGATCAGCAGTCTAAATTACTGTGTGATCATTTTGGATGAATTTTTAACTGATAAAAAATATTCCTACAGTTACTGATTTAACTTTATTTCAAATGTTAAACTTTTCCTTTAAATAGACATGGTTGAGGTTAGAGCCACTTTTAGGCTTAACATTTTGAAAATTGCCTCTTCACTGGCAGATATAACCTTCACAATTCCAGTCCTGAATTTTATCTGTGTGCACACCTGCTTAACATTTCAACACCCAAGCAATAAGAGACCCAACCAAGCCAACTTATGCAAACATGCTGTAGACCAGTGTTTCTCAATTTTTTTTTAATAAAATACCCCTTTAAAAAAAAAAAAGTAAATATCCCCAGTACCTACATTTTTCAGACATACAAACACTTTTTTCTACCATTGCAACTCATTTGTTTATACAACTTAATCGTAGCTGGGTGTGCAATGAAATTTTTGGGTGTAAAAAGTAAAAAATAATAAAACCCTGTAAAACTTAAAACAAAAATTCAGTTCTCCAAATTTCAGTTGTGTTGACGTACCCCCCAGGCTTCTCTCAACTACCCCTACGGGTACTCGTACCACTGGTTGAGAAACACTGCTGTAGACTACTACAGCAAGTCTGGTGTTGACAGTTTGGGATTGCAATAGAAGGGGCAAATTCCAGCTATTACAAAAAAAAATCCATTTAAAATCTTCCCACCAGTATGAGAGACAGAGCTCTAAGGGAAGAACTGTAGCCTGGGACAGTTTAAGATCATTTTAAGGCTTCACAATATCCATTTTGTGATACCAGTGGAAAAGGGAATTCCAATTTGTGATGGAGAGGAGGAGTGCTGTCTTTTTCTTGGCATCGCAGCATTCTGTGTCTAAAGGATTAAACTCAGGTAGCTAGGAGGTATTGGCAGGGAGGCAAGTGAGCTAATGGGAGAAGATTTTGAGCTCTGAATGGAAAGGAATCATGCTTGCTTCTTTTTCTTTGTGTGAGTTTAAGCCAGGAGCTGGGGAAAGAAGATAAGTATTTGCAGGCAGGACTGCCATGCTTAGAAAGAATACTGAGCATAGAAATGGACTGGACCTTGAAGCATGGATGTGAGAGTAGGTAGGGAATGTCTCTTTAGACACGATCAGGTTATTTTCTTTGTTTTGTTATTTAGTTAAACTTCTCTATACTAAGTCCATATGCTCCTCCCCCCCCACTAACTTTAAGATGAATCATGGGGTGTTTTAATTTATTCTTTTCTCAATTGCTTTCAACACCTAGCAACCAAGTATATCTTATTTCATTAATAAAATAACCCTTTTAAGGCTATGATTTGATTCTTGTGTCTGTTACCTTCCAGGAGGTATGTGTATGCATATCCAAGACTGAGAAATCCGCTATCAGAGATTAGTTTGTTTTCTTTTTTCAAGCTCTCTTGTGGTAAAAGTGTTTGGGCTACACTTCTGAGAAGTGCTTTCTTCCTGGATTCAAGAAAGGAGTTGTTTTAGGCTGCTACCACCAAGTATTTCCCATGGCCAGAGTTTTACTTATGCTAATCTGCAGGCACCGACCCAGAGTCCCTTCAAGAGAGCAGATACTAACAAGAACAAAAAGGAACATGTGGAAAGAGGTTTCCTCTGTACAGCAAAAGCACTCCTTTAAACTCCAGTTGTAAGCCTAGATGTTGTATCACAGAAGTGCAGAGGATTGTGGCCCAAATCCCAGTTTCTCTTCTTACCCTGTCTTTGTCTATTTGTGCAACGTTCTGCAACTCAGAGATTTCAGAGGCAGGACAATTCCGTCTGTAACGCTTGATTACTGCTTCCATTTCTTCCTTGGAGATGATCTTCTCCAGGACAATGCCATTTTCTTCTTCAATGGGAGGAAAAGAAAAGGAGAAGATGACATTGGGAAGTCAGTTTTAATCAGCAAAGGTAATACTTCTAAAGAGTTTCTATAGGTTATATGGCCAGAAAACACCACTGATCATCCAGACTGACTTCCCGCATAGCACAGGCCGGAAAACTGTCCTGGATTAGTTTTTGTTTGAACAAGATCAGATCTTTTGGAAAAAGCAACTAATCTATCTAAAAATTCCCACTGATGGAGAATCCATCTCAACCTGCAGTAAATTGTTCCAAAGTTTAATTACCCTAACTCAGGGGTTGGCAACTTATGGCTCACATATGGCTCTCTTGGCAGCTGTTGGGAGTTCCCTCTAGGGTGCACAAAGAATTGTAATCCTGCCTGCTTTCTGATACAGCAGCACTCACCTGCCTTGCAGTTGGAAGGTAAGCTGCTACTGGTGGTGGGCTTGGTTGGAGAATGGGGGGCCCGGGCCCCATGGTGGCTGCCTGGCTGCCCAGGGTGGGCTGTATGGTTTTTGGATCTGAATCTGGGCTTTGGTGTGGCACTCCGAGGGCGAGGGCCAGGGCCGTAAGTGCAGCCCCAAGAGCAGGCAGACTGTGGCCCTGGTTCCAGCCCCAGCACACAGGGCAGCCATCTGTCTACAGCCACAGCCCAGGAGAAGCCGGGCAGCCATCAGGCAGCCCTGGCTATAGCTTCAGCCCTCCCCACTCCCTATATAACCCTGACCCCAGGAAATGACAAGAGGGCTTTAAAGCTTGGCCTGGCAGCCCCCATTCATCCATGACATGCTGGGGTGGCCACAAATTGCAGTCTGGCAGCCCCTTCACACACCTCAGGATAAACTCCCCACCTCCAAGACATCAGGGGCAGCATAGTGGCCCCCTCCTATCCCAGGAGATACGAGGGAGGAGGACTTAACTGGAAGCCACAGCCCAACATCTCCATAGCCCCAGACACACTCGGGGAGACTCAGGGGTGGGGTAGAAAACACTGTCCACCTCCTCCCTGGGAGGAGATGCTATGGAGGTTCAGAAACTGCGCCCACCACCCTACACTCTGGAGCAGCACCATCTTCACCACCGTGGGTAGCTCTAGTAAGCCCTCTCCCCTCAGGCCTCCTGCCTTGAACCCCCTGCCCTTAACCCTCCTCCCCCACCCTGATTCTTACACTCCATGTGCACCAAGTCCCACCACATATCCCAACCCCGTACCCTGCACCCCCATCTCCGGCCCTCAGCCTCCTGCTCTCACTCCTGCATTCCCACCTTCTGCCACCAGCCCCTCCTA